TCTCTGTGTCTCTCTGTGTCTCTCTGTGTCTCTCTGTGTCTCTCTGTGTCTCTCTGTGTCTCTCTGTGTCTCTCTGTGTCTCTCTGTGTTTCTCTGCTCTCAGGAGTTCTGGTCATGAAGCTGCAGCCATGCTTGCACAGATGTAATCTGAGTATTTTGATGAGGATGTGGGAAACACTGGAGTCTGCTCTGACTGTTTCCTAACTTCCTGCTGTTTACGAGCCCAACAAACGGCTGCTGTCGGCTCATAAATCAGCTGCTGGAGACGAAGTGCGGCTCGTCTTCGTTAACCTGAGGGATTAGCTTCACGCTCCAGTTTCTCTTTTTAATAAACGTGTTGAGTTCATTCAGAACCCGTCCTCCTCCTCAGAACCTTCTGTCCAACAGAGAGCAGACACGCTCCGACCTGTCTGCTCTCAACTGCCCCCAGATTATTAGAAAAACTCTTGGATTAAAAACAGGAGAAAATGAAAGAAACAGACGTTTAATTTAAAATAATCTGATCGAACCTTTAATCTGAACAAACTGTAACAAAATAAAACTTTTGGTTTTAGTGATAATTGTTTGTTTTAAGTTTATCTGGTTCGTTTAAACTGACGACGTCATTGGAAATGAATGGTGTGTGTGTGTGTGTGTGTGTGTGTGTGTGTGTGAGAAGCTGCTGCCTTCAGCGGCACCTGAGACAGAGAGACATTTCCACCTTTACACATCTTTAATAAATGTAAACACAGAGGAACTGATGAGTTTGGTAGAATTTAGAAAAATGTTTATTAAATAGATGATGTGAAGAAACGAGTCAGAGTTTCTGCTGTGGTGTGATTTATATTTTACAATCATCAAGTCTCTCATTCAGCTGCATGACTTGACTCAGAACTACAGTAAAATACCTGACTGTAATTTGTTCACTGTCTGATACAAAAATCAAAACCAACCAACCAGCCAACCAAACCAACCAACCAACCAACCGAACCAACCGAACCAACCAACCAACCAACCAACCAACCGAACCAACCAACCAACCGAACCAACCGAACCAACCAACCAACCAACCAACCAACCGAACCAACCAACCAACCAACCAACCCAACCAACCAACCAACCAACCAACCAACCAACCAACCAACCAACCGAACCAACCGAACCAACCAACCAACCAACCAACCAACCAACCAACCAACCAACCGAACCAACCGAACCAACCAACCAACCAACCAACCAACCGAACCAACCAACCAACCGAACCAACCGAACCAACCAACCAACCAACCAACCAACCGAACCAACCAACCAACCGAACCAACCGAACCAACCAACCAACCAACCAACCAACCAACCAACCAACCAACCGAACCAACCGAACCAACCAACCAACCAACCAACCAACCAACCAACCAACCAACCGAACCAACCGAACCAACCAACCAAC